GCGAACGATTTGAGTTACACGTCTAAAATTCTAGATACCTATAAACACATCTCTTAGCTATGGTCTGTGAATTTTGAGTTTGTTAAAGCACAAATAGTTTAATTAATTACCAAAAATATACGCACGGTATCGCTCATAGGCTAATACATACGCGCGGCTATGGCCCGTAGGATAGTGTACTAACTCTAATAATCATCTCGCGAAGGATTTGAGTTACACTTCTAAAATTCTAGATACCTATAAACACATCTCTTAGCTATGGTCTCTGTAAATTTTGAGTCTATTGAAGCACGAATAGATTAATTAATTACCAAAAATATAATTGCTCATAGTCATAGGCTAATATATACGCGCGGCTATGGCCCGTAGGATAGTGTACTAACTCTAATAATTATCTCACGAAGGATTTGAGTTACACTTCTAAAATTCTAGATACCTATAGACACATGTCTTAGCTATACTCTCTGTGAATATTGAGTTGATTTACGCACGATTAGTCAATATATTAGCAAATATATGCGCACGGAAGTGAATTACAGATGATTTAATGTTCGAACCACCCGACTCCAAACCCCCCTACCGCGCCCGCCTGTATTGTGTGTACTGGCGCAATGTACAGCTGGTACATTTATTGGCATTGTATACAGGCGGGCGCGGTAGGGGGGTTCGGAGTCGGGTGGTTCGAACATTTAATCATCTGTAATTCACTTCTAAGGAATATCTGCATTGGGCACCCTCTCTAATAATTATAGTACTGCCATAAGCTACAACTGTGCCAAGCTTGAGACTTTTGTCACTCCTGTAACGATTCGGCCCATGTTTTGCACTAAGGGACCTGACTACTTGCGGGTTGCTGAGTAACCGAGTTGACGATCAGCGCCGCTAGTGTCAGATGCGCACATAGCCGGTGTCTCATTGAGTTCTGTATTCTGACCAATCGACTTACAAAGAAAATTATGGAACAAATTAAATTTTAAATTCTGTTAACACCTGTACTAGTTTTTCATGTGTTAGGGTTAGGGTTTTTATTATATAGTTTTAAAAATAAATAAATAAATATAATATATATATATATATATAATAAACAAGTACATAGACTGTATGATAACGGTATCTTACTTCAGATACTGGCTATAAAGATGATGTGTCAGCCTGGCCCGGAATCTCAGTTTCAACTCACTCAAGCCGTACTTCAATAAATTGTTTACAATCGATATGGCAGGCATCGCTTTAACATAGGCAAACAGGTAGTTGTTGAATAGTTTCATATTTCTTCCAATAATGGCACTGTAAAATCAAACAGATACGAATATAAATGCTTTTATAATTAGTCAATCTAACCCAAGCAACAATTTTGAACCCCTGGGTCGCCATGCCATTTTAATTAGACTGGCAAGAATGGCTGTGTAAATATAAATTTTCAAGCACAATATTTAAAAGCATAGCCCAGCAAGCCACACACGAAACCAGAATTTGGATTGTAGCCAGAAAAATGCTAAGAACCTCTGCTCTAAGAAAATGTTATTAAACTTGTAGCACTGTACCTCTCAATGAATGTACCATTCTGAATCATCCATATGTCGCAGTACGTCCGGGCAACGAGAGTTGCAGCTACTAACAGCAGATAACCGGCTTCAGGAGATGACCAGCCAGGAATCAGAATCTTCAAGATCCTCCATAGCCGACTATTCAAAAGCAAAATGAAGTCTTATGCGACATCAGAAATCAATACAAATTCACGCCGCTTTGTAATCCTCTGGAAAGAGCCAAAGCAGCACAGTTTGCTATATATAGAGCTTATCCAAGTAATGAAATAAAATTGATCAAAATTTTGGCAGGCATCTATGTGTTGTTCTGGCAGCTACTTTAGGATAGCAGACAAGGCACATGGATAGTCGATGGACAGGGTGAATTCCACAGAGCTAAAATGATGATCTATATGATGCATGTCGACTTCAAACGTCTCACGGCAGTAAATGACTGTGCAAACTGGTGCAGTGCATTAGATTGTATTACCAAACTGCTTTATGCAGACACAAACTACACACAATGCAATTGAACTGTGATAAAGTTTATTGTAATTCTAAAGAATGAATTCACCTAAAGAAGACTGCATCAACTGCCACTTTTTCTTGCTTCTTTTTTCCATGTTTAGTCTCCTGAAACACAGAAAGAGTACCCAAGACGTGAATTAAGGCACAATTAATATATTCCAGCCTGAGCTTCAAATAAATCCCCTAATTGCTCTTATAGTAAGTAATACAACAATAGCTTGCAATTAATTGTCAAGTATTTCCAAACAAACACCATGAATTGCAGAACAAATGTCGAAGTATATTATAACACTAATTTTCAATAAGAGAATAAATGTATTTACTTTAGTGAGATTATCCAACTGCCTAAAATGACACATTTGATTTTGATAGAAACATTACCTTCTCTTTGTGATACTGAATTAAATATACATCTAGAAAATATTAAATCTTGGTAGACTAGTAAGTTGTTACTCACATCTTTGTAAATCTTTTCTAGTTCACTTGCAGATGCTGGCACACTAGAAAACAGGACAAACAAAACTTGAAACAGCCAGAATTATTGACATGTGAAAAATTTATTTGATTTATTTGATTCCCCTACTGAAGGATTCCTATTATTTGCTCATGAGGTTTATTTTAATTAATAGCCTATTTTATTTCAATTAAATTAAAACCATAGCATGTTGCTATGCCAGTCTACTTTTCACCCAACCACTGTGTACTACAGCAGTGTGAATCCCAAGACATTATTTGCCACCAGAATAGGAATCATTCTGTAACAACATCAACAGAACTCGAAAAAGTAAATAGATCAGTGATGATACTATTAGTATTACACAATTATTGGCAGCAATCAAAGCATTTATGAATATGAGTTACTAGTTTCGCATAAACATAAGCAAGAGTTGGTATAACTACTATGAGGGAAATTCAATCGACAAACCAAGCTATATCTTGTTCAGTGTGGTGTCTTGCTGGCATTGTATTTCACAAGGCTTAAGAATAGATCTGGTAATGCAAAGCGAGAAGGCAACTTGTTTGACACACGTCACACAGTGACGCTGAAAGGGTCGTTGTCGTATCAGGTGCTACATATATGTACCCGAGGTACGCATATTATGTACATATTACTTATTAGTACTTTAGTTTGATTGTTTTCTTTGTTTTGTTTTTTATGTTATATTTTTATACATTCAATCATTACATGAATTGTAACATAGGCCATTTCAGTTTATTTTGACTACCATGCAAATATGCTATTACTGTACATACTGCTTACTGTACTATGATACGGATTACTCTTGCAAGTATAATTATTAATTGTCAAATCTAACGTATGTTTTCCTATCCTATGTGACTGCTTTATATATATTCTTGATAAGTATATTTTCTTATATGCTATTTTTTTTGTTCCACCTATGTATGTTCAGTTTGAAAAACCGTTCTGTTTTTTTGTTTGTTTTTTATTTTGATTAGTTTTTCATACATTTAATTATGTTATTGCCATAAATTGTAATATATGTCGCTTAAGTTATTCTTTATTAGCATGTAAATATTCGATTACTGTACTGTACTGATTACCTCACATATTTCATTTATATGTGTTCATATAATTTGTAATTTATATGTGTCCTTATTTTGTATATAACTTCATGTCTGCTGCCTGTTCTATTTCCAACTTTGTTCAATTTTGCTTTTGTTTCACTGTTACTAGTGTTAGAATACAAACATTTTGTCCAAATATTTCTCATAATACATCGCGTATTCTTATGACAGACGCCTTTACACTTAATTAATTTCTCAAAGGGTTGGCTGACTAGATGACCGTATGGTCTTTTCGCCATCCCTTCACTGCACGTTATGTATATTTTGTAAAAAAAAATTCTTGTATCTTATCATATTGGAAGTGATAAAATAAATTTATCTTATCTTATCTTATCTTATCTTACTTCTGTAATACAAGTCTGGTACACTTTGTGTATACATATATGTACCTCGGGTACATATATCAAGAGCTAATAATACCTTAGGTATTATTAGCTCTTGATATATGTAGTACCTGATACGACGACGACCCCTTCAGCCACAGTGACAGACCGTCACTCGTCAGTGTCACTGTCGCTGAGAGGGTCTATGTCCCCCAGGGTACTGCTGGAACATACCCTGGGACTCAGTGAGAAAAAAAAAAAATTTCCGGGGCTCTTTTTCCAACGCCTCAAAAATTTCGGGGGCTACTTTTTCAATTTTCCGGGGCTAATTTTCCAAATTCCGAGGGCTACTTTCTTTGCACCTGAATAAAACAACAAGATAAGTTGTTGAATAGCAGGCCTGTTTTTATAGTTTCTGCCTAGTTCATATCGCCCAATCACAAATATGTTGTGTATTTATTGTATATAACCAATAAAAATATAAACCAATTCCAATTTTATCCAGTTCTTTCAATAACTATATAGTTATTGAAAGAACTGGATAAAATTGGAATTGGTTTCGTTAGTGGAACGGTTAGCATTCGTCATTGGTCCAGTGCATTGTAGCGCGCAGTGGAATAAATCGATATCATAACACACGTAGCTCTGCGTGCGTACGTATCAGTGTTCGAAATATAGTTAATGACCCTGTGACCTTGACCTTGGGTGGAAGTGGCTCAGAATCAATAGGGTTCTCTCGCCCCATAAGATGCAACTGTGGACCAAGTTTGAAGTTTCTACCTCTTACGGTTGGAAAGATATCGAGCGGACAGACACACAGACATACACAGTACACACTGCCTACGCTTGTACTTCGTCGAGTAGACGTGTTTGTATGGTTAGCCTGTGTTGTGACTACGCTTGTGTTGTAACGGTTGGCTGGCAGGTCAAGCGTACACAATCGCTATTGCAACTGCATAGCCGAGACAGGCATTGCGGGTTTTGCAGCAGTTTTTGCAGCTGCGACTGGTGTAACCAATGATAATGCCTCGACTTCGAGGCGTGCAATTTCGGGGGCGATTTCGACCAGTTTTCTTTTTAACTGCTGCCCCCGTAATGACATTTTCGGGAGCTCTTTTTAGAACTTCGGGGGCGATTTCGCCCGCCGCCCCCGTGTATTGTTCACTGCCCTGGGTACGGTCCGGTATACCGGAACGTACCCTGGTCGCATACGCTATTGCGCTATAGGCGGCATGAAAGTGTATTAACTCTCATATCTCGCAAACGAATTGAGCTACATTTCTAGAAATCTAGATACATATAAACACATGTCTTAGCAATATAATCCGCATGAATTTTGAGTTTATTGAATCACGAATAGTTTAATTAATTACCAAAAATATACGCACGGTATCGCTCATAGGCTAATATATTTGCGCGGCTATGGCCCGTAGGATAGTGTACTAACTCTAATAATCATCTCGCGAAGGATTTGAGTTACACTTCTAAAATTCTAGATACCTATAGACACATGTCTTAGCTATACTCTCTGTGAATATTGAGTTGATTGACGCACGATTAGTCAATATATTAGCAAATATATGCGCACGGAAGTGAATTACAGATGATTTAATGTTCGAACCACCCGACTCCAAACCCCCCTACCGCGCCCGCCTGTATTGTGTGTACTGGCGCATTGTACAGCTGGTACATTTATTGGCATTGTATACAGGCGGGCGCGGTAGGGGGGTTCGGAGTCGGGTGGTTCGAACATTTAATCATCTGTAATTCACTTCTAAGGAATATCTGCATTGGGCACCCTCTCTAATAATTATAGTACTGCCATAAGCTACAACTGTGCCAAGCTTGAGACTTTTGTCACTCCTGTAACGATTCGGCCCATATTTTGCACTAAGGGACCTGACTACTTGCGAGTTGCTGAGTAACCGAGTTGACGATCAGCGCCGCTAGTGTCAGATGCGCACATAGCCGGTGTCTCATTGAGTTCTGTATTCTGACCAATCGACTTACAAAGAAAATTATGGAACAAATTAAATTTTAAATTCTGTTAACACCTGTACTAGTTTTTCATGTGTTAGGGTTAGGGTTTTTATTATATATTATTATATAATAACTATTTTATATTCGCTGTTAGAGAACGTTCCCTAAAGACCCTCTAGGTTTTATTGACTACGTCTCTTTTATCTGACATAACGTTTTTGTTAAGAAAACCCATCGGGTTTTTCGTATTTCCAACAACGGATATCCCGTAGTCTGATTTATTAGTATAACTAAGGCAGCAGGCTTCTTTCTCACTGCTGCGCACTCTCTCTCTATTCTTGCGCCGACTCCGGCAAATCTCTTCTCTAGCTCCTCGCTATTGCCGATCGAAACATTCGCAAGGAACCGAACACGGCCTTGTATGTGGTTTCGCTAGATAGGGCGGCCGATCGATCGACAGGCCCTCGTCTGTTTCTTAGAATCACAGTGCAAATGTCAGAGGCGATGGCCCGCGTGACGTCAGCACGCGCACATTTTTCCATATATTGCACGACGGACGCTTCTTGAATCGTCCAAGCTGTCATACTACTGCTGAGAGAGTCTATGTCCTCCAGGGTACTGCCGGAACGTACCCTGGGTACGGTTCGGTATACCGGAACGTACCCTGGTACTATCTAATATGCCGGACCGTACCTCGCCTACTCCACTAACGAGTCTAGGGAGTCGCCTACGCCTACTCCTTAACCATATCAGATAGTTACCAAGGTACGTTCCGGTATACCAGACCGTACCCAGGGTACGTTCCGGCAGTACCCTAGCCTGGGGGTACATAGACCCTATGATAATGAGTATGAGTATGAGTTGTCTGCAAATGCAGACGTTATAACTCCGCTTTGCTAATCTGAGGGTGCAGGTTTAACTGGGTATAACCACTGGACCCATTACTGGGGTCTGCGTCGGCTCGGACTAGAGCATGAGCGTCACTGTCATTGTGTCAGTGAGGCTCATAGTCTATGTCCCCCAGGGTACTGCCGGAACGTACCCTGGGCCTGGGTACGGTCCGGTATACCGGAACGTATCCTGGTAACTATCTGATATGGTTAGGGTTAGGGTTAGAGTTAGGGTTAGTGTTAGGGAGTAGGCGTAGGCGACTCCCTAGACTCTGACTCGTTAGTGGAGTAGGCGAGGTACGGTCCGGCATATTAGATAGTACCAGCAGAGCATATAAATCACGTTGATTTACGTATATGCTCTGGTACCAGGGTACGTTCCGGTATACCGGACTGTACCCAGGCCAGGGTACGTTCCGGCACGGCGGCAGTACGGTACCCTGGGGAACATAGACGATTACTGTAATACTATTACTAATACTAATAGTAATAGTAATACTAATAGTAATAGTACTAATACTAATGCAGTAACAGCTAATAGTAATAATACTAATACTAATACTAATACTAGTATTAGTAATACTATTACTAATAATAGACCCTCTCACTCTCACTCTCAGTCTCAGACTCGGCGTCAGTGACTCGTGAGGGACCATGATTTTTATTGATTACGATTTACGTTCCAATCCACGACAGATATTCGTTGTCGCGTTTCAGTAGCAGAAGACTCACGATTTCGAAGTTGCCTTTTTGTGCTGTCGGTATAGCCATATGAAAACCAAGGCACTGCCTGCTCCTACGGCTGCATTTCTTGATACAAGTTTGCTAACGGAAGGCGCCATGTTGAACCATAGGCATAGGCATAAGAGCGCCGTGAATAAAATAAGGCATGTAACGATTATATTATGATTTTATTGGAAAAAAAATTATATATATATATGAAATTTTTGTAATATGTATTAATTAGATATAATGTAGTATTATAAAAGCTAAATAAGTTTTATTTTCTGTCATGCCGAGAACATTACACGCTTTACGCACCGCATCTTTTCGTTCATTGCGTCCATAGCAACAAGTATAGAAGCTGAACTAGGCATACTGCTAGAAATGTATCCGTAAGTATTAGTGTTACTGTTAGTGTTAGTATTTTAACTTCAATTCCGGTATCTTGTTACAATATACTAGTATATCAAACACAGATAAATGTGGCTAACCTGTCTTTCGACGATATCTAATTTGATTGTCGTGTGCAACTCAAAACATTGGTTTCGACTTTATTGACAAAAGGAATTTTTGCATTGTGAATTTCTGTTTTTGAATCGCGATTCGCTATTCGACTGCAAAAGTATCAAAAAAATAATGTAATTATATATTTGCATTAACTATTTTTGACTTCTGTATGTATTGTACACTAATAGTAATAGTAATAGTATCAAGTCCTAATCTATTCATATGTAGTGTTTCCATGCTTCTGTTTTGTCTCTAGGTAACCTGCTGCGCATAAAAAAAATCAACAAAAGCCACTCGGTGTTAGATCCTTGCCAAGGAAAATAGATCGACCATTTAAGAATGTCACTGTTTACACTTGGCACGTCAGCTACTCACACACAAGGAACAAGCAAGTTTCACAAGTCGCACCATTTTGATTATCAAAATGAGGTGGCAATGTTGGTTGCTGATAACAAATCTGGCAGTGGTTCGGGCTCACTGGAGAGCCAACTAACTCTTGGAGGTGTGAACAAGCCTGCCTGGGTTGCCTTTGACAAGCAGGTATTGTGTTTTGATGCTTACTTTCAAGAATCGGTACAAGAGCGACAAGATGAACAGTACCGCATACGTAACTGTAAGATCTACTTTCACCTCGAGGATGATTCCGTGCAGGTGACAGAACGCCGAGTAGAGAACAGTGGTATTCCACAAGGCACACTAATTAGGCGCAGCAGGATTCCACTGCCACCACCAAATGAGAACAAATTCTACACTGTGGAGCACTTCAACATTGGAAAAGATGTTGTGATGTATAATCGCAGTTTTAAAATCACCAACTGTGATGCCTTCACAGTAAATTTCCTAACAAAGCTTGGCATTAAAGTTAGTCAGCCAATTTCAGCTCCTGAAGACCCATACATAAAGAATAGAAAGGAGCAAGAGAAGAGCATGCAGCCCTTGAGACCATACGAAAAGTATGACACCATGAGGCAGTTCATGGATCATGATAAACATGTTTTACGATTTTTCTGCTACTGGGACGATAGCGATAGCATGTTTGGTGACTCACGTGAAATGATTTTATACTACTTTTTAGCAGATGACACAATTGAAATCAGTGAAGTGATTCCACCCAATTCTGGAAGAGATGCTACAGCGAAATTCCTGCGTAGGGCAAGGTTGCCAAAAGATATTGTTCCATTGCATCAACCTGGTGAAGCCACTAGCCGCACTGTTCTGAATGTTTTCGGTCAAGGCAAGGACATTCTAGACAGTCTGAAAACGGGAGCTGTGCCTATAAATTACTACACGGATGCAGACCTGCAGATTGGTGCCGTGCTCAATGTCTGGGGAAGGAAATTTATTCTGTGCGATTGCGACGAATTCACAAAGATGTACTATTCGACAAAATGCAACATTCAGGATTTCACCTCGGTGAAGTACAAGACAGAAGAAACCCCAGCAAAGCCGAAAACATTGCCGCCGTATAACGGCTTCGGTAGTGAAGAGGACTCGAGGTGCTCGTGCATGGGTCTGATTCCGAAACCGCCGCGCCGCGACTTCAAGAAGTTCATGGAGAAGGACCGCCGCGGCCTTGACAGCAACGTTCTGCGCTTCATCGCAAGCCTCGACACAAAGAAAACTGTCGACCGACAATTCGTCATCTCGTACTTCCTCTCGGACGACACGATCGCCGTGTTCGAGCCGCCGCAGAGGAACTCGGGCGTCATCGGCGGCAAGTTTCTCGAGAGGGGGCGAATCAAGAGGCAATCGGAGTCGGACGACGATGGCTGCGGGCAGCCGGAGTTCTACACGGCGTCGGACCTGTACGTCGGCGCTCGCGTCGAGTTCAACAACCACAAGTTTGTGTTGATCGATGCGGACGAGTACGCGTTTCGTTACATGGAGAAGCAGAGCGACGAGTTCCCACAGGCTGGCATCGACGCTATAGTCAAGAAATTGCAGCAGCATATCGCAGACAGTCCAGTAGAGAACCTGATGGAGGAGATTCGTCGATCTTTCACCAGAAACGACGTGGATGCCAGTGGATTTGTTTATTATGAGCAGTTCCACAATCTTCTTGTGCAGTTCTCCAGTGGAAAGCTATCCGAGCATGAAGTAATCACGTTAGGGAGGTAAATTGAATAATCTAGGATTTCATACTTAATAGTTTCTTGTCGCTGGACTCAGAATGTCACCATGGTTACAACTTACAGCAGCCCAGTATAAGGGAACCTAATTTAAAATTCCAGCTTTCGTAATAAATTTTAACCTGAGGGTTTGAATCTTTCCCCTCAACAAACATCACAAATTAGCATGACATTTTAGGGATTAGATGATTTTAGAGGTTACTAGTCTGTTTTTATCAGTGACAAAGAAATCAATTCAAACCCTGTATATAAATAATTGAGTCCATTAATCATACTGTACAGATACTATGGAGAAAAGCGACCAGAGGAGCTCATGGATATCAATACGATGGCAGCTTTAGCACAGCAGAAAATAAGGAGGAAAGGTTTTGAGAACTTTGCTCAGCTCTGTAGAGGACTTCTTCAGCGTGACAGTGGCCGGTAAGGCGAACATTCTCTGCTTGGATTCTGCTTGTTATTGGGAAACGATTGGACATCCATTATATATGGATCAGAGTTCTAATTTCAAATTGTAAAAATGGATGCTTGCTCACCCGATTTCTCGCTCATCTGTTTTAGGACAGGGCTCCTAAATCCAAATGAAGTTCTGCAAGTTTGTAGAGCCTTCAGGCTGCCAGCAGCTGATATGGTATGTTGTGACTGAAGAGCATTTTAAGGGGATGTGGATAGGAAGCAGTCTGAGCCATGCAAATGTTTGTGATGCTAATTATAGATGTTTTATAATAAGTTTTGCTCCATTGAATCCTGGTTAGTTTGGATTAATAATTGGAATAGTGCTCGAATTATCTGAAAATCTGGCCTGGCTACATTATGCATGTGTACTGTTTGCAACAGTCACAGATGCATGTTTTCCTTCCTGCTTCCGTCACTAATTAGTTTATAGATTAACTTTAAACATCATGTCATGTTGAAATGAAGAACACAAAAATGTTTGCAAATCACTTCATTAAAATAATTGTAACCTTTATATGATGTTACCTTTAGGCAAGGTTTTTATATGTTTAATACCATATGAAATGTTTACATCAATAGGTTAAAAAGCTTATTGGAAAGATTGAATGCAATGAGCAAGGCCTAATGAACTACAATGATCTGGTTAGCTACCTCAACTGGAGGGAGAACCCAATGCCTGTTCCTGAAAACACTGATATACAGGTAAAGGAAACGTGTGTGTGTGTGTGTGCGTGCGTGCGTGCGTGCGTGCGTGCGTGCGTGCGTGCGTGCGTGCGTGCGTGC